CCTCGGTCGTACTGCGTACCAGTGTTTTTTTTAAGTAATATATTCCTTTTAAGGAATAAAGAGGCCATTTTGGCCTTTGGAAATAAGGAACAAAGTGAGGCCGATCCGTACATTTTCATTCCTTCAGCCAAAAACGTCCATTGCTGCCAGATTGCTCCGTAGTGTGCAGAACTTAGTATTATCGATCATAAAATAGATATGAGGGGCCGTAAGAAGGTCAAGCCCGTGAGTCAACGCGGCATAGCAGAATGCATGACCGGTCCTTCCATAGCCAAACACGCAAAAGGCAACGACTTGAACGCCGAACAAACACAAAAACAGCAAGATAAGCCTGAAAATTTTCCTGATAAAGGCGTTTGGGACGGCGGTGCTGTTGTCGGTAATGCATCGGCAATGTTGCTGCCAGCGGCGACCGATGACTAGGGTTGTGCCGGCATTAGAACATTAGAACTAATATTAGAATAAATATAATTAGAAACTAATTAGAATTTTAGAAGACCCCGTTTAGAACGTATTAGAACATCCTAATGTCGTACGGACATTAGAACGGCCGGAAAGCCGTAGCTTTAAGGCGCATCAGCGGTTCACTGCGTGCATTTTACACGAAAATGTCAGATAGAGGTGCGGGGCCATCAAAGCCACCCCTTCCTCATCGGAAGGCGGAAGCATCAGGGCCAATGTACAAGTATGGCAACAAGGAACTTGATGCAAAAGCGTATGCAGAAGCTCTGATCTCCGCAAAGAAGAAGGGTCTTGCAGCTTATTGGACTTCTTTCAACGTTCTGCTGCTCGACGGCGTCGTTAAGCTGAAGTGCCTCACCTGCGGCGCCCTGCTTGGCGCCAAAAACCCAACCGCGACTGCGCCTTTACACCTCAAGAGGCATGAGAGGGCTGCATCAAACACGTTTGGCGGCGTTCTTGGTTGTTTCCACAGCGGTCTGGCGTGGGTTTGGCTAGCAGGCACCAGATTAGCCCTTCCTCTCTGTGTTTTTGCATTCCCCTTAGCGAGCAAACACTCCCCCGGCAGTTATGTGGTGATTCTGTGCAAGTAGGGACTTAAAAGGACAGGTTTGGCGGCGTTCTTGGTTGTTTCCGTAGCAAGTCTGGCGTGGGTTTGGCTGGTAGGTACCCT